AAGGGCAGCTATCCTAAAGGCTCTTTGTATCTACCTGGATGAGAACGAGGGACAGCTCGTATATGGTATATGGTAAGTCATTTGCATTGATTTGCCTGTCACATGTTATGTTTTAAGATCCTAATGTCACCCACATAAATTTTCAGAGGTTCATGTTATCATGACGTTGACGGTTGAGAATATTCAAATGAAAATTAACAACTTGCTGCGCAGTATCGTCGTTCCTATGTACATCTTTAATAACACCTTACAGATATATAGTTTTATTTAAATCCACCTCATTGAAGTAAGAATCACTGTAGATAAGATAGTAAATGCAACACATTTATAGAACATACAAAGTAGAAGAACATGTCCATCTGAAGAAACATGAATAAGAGGTAGCACAAGGTTTTGATAGTGTCGTTTATTTGTTGCTCAATCTGTTGGATTGTGTTGAGGGGCTTCTAGTGTTAAAGCAACTGGTTTATATATATGTAATGTACATATATACATTTAATGTGTGTGTATATATATATATATATGTAATGTATGTGTAATGTGTATATATACATCCAGTTGTGGAAAAGAATGTTCTTTTTTTTGTTTAGATTATTATGTAAGGTGTATTATTGTGACGACTCGAAGAGACGGTGAAGATCAACTTCCTGTTTTATTTTTGTAACCACGGCACTTCCTGTATCTAGTTTCCCCCCATAGCTGAGTTTAGTTTGCAATCACCCCCACCTGTATTTAAGCCTCAGTTCCCCACTTGTCTGTGTCAGGTTATTTTTTGTGTTTCCTAGAGGTGTATGTTTGTAGTTAGAAGTCCCCAGTGCTGTTTTTGGTAAACTTGTTTTTTACTTCGTTGCCAGGCTCTCTTCCTTTTTTTGTCTCTTCAAGAGCGTGTGGATTCCGCCTTTGCCTGTGCACCCTTTTGTCTTGCATTAGTTTATTTTTCTAGTAAAGGATTTCAAACCTGCAAAGAACCTTCTGTGCCTTATTGCTCTGCACCTGAGTCGAAGTCCTGACCCCTCACAATTATAATATGCGCTTTGCTTTTTTTGAATAAAATACACTGATATTGACTAATGCCATTTCATTTGATGAAACTTAATTTTAGTATGTACAAATGTAACAAATTGATTAGTATGTAAATAAAAAGAATAGTTACTGTTGCCTAATTTATTTTATTAAACCGAAGATGGGTTTGGTTGGAATTTCTTAATAAATTTGAGTTAACTCTACTCAAAACAGTTGAGCAGAAATTATATATAAAAGTAGGCTGAAATTAGTTGAAAATAATGAGTACAATTTACTTAAAAAATATGTCTGGATTTAGATACATTTATTTCGTGCATTTACTTACCTAAAAAAAATTAAGTAAATTCAACACATCATTTTCTTCAGTGTATATGCTTCCTTTGGGCGATCTTATCAGGAAACACCACATAAACTTCCATTGTTATGCAGACGATACTCAACTGTATCTGTCGATCAAGCCAGAAGAGACGGACCAGCTAGACTTCAAGAATGTCTTGGAGACATCAAAACTTGGATGACCGGCAACTTCCAGATTCATCAGGAATCTGGGAGTTCTCTTCGACCAGGATATGACCTTCAACTCGCATATAAAGAAGACTTCAAGGACTGCCTATTTTCATCTACGTAACATATCAAAAATCAGGAACTTCCTGTCTCAAAGTGATGCAGAAGAATTAGTTCATGCGTTTGTCACTTCCAGACTGGACTACTGTAATTCTTTGTTATCAGGCTGCTCTTGTAAATCTCTTAAGCCTCTTAAGCCTCTCCAGTTGATTCAGAATGCTGCAGCACGTGTATTAACAAGAACTAAGAAAAGGGATCATATCACTCCTGTATTAACTTCTCTGCACTGCCTCCCTGTTAAATGAAGAATAGATTTTAAGGTACTTCTCCTCACCTACAAGGCACTTGCTGGTGAGGCACCGTTGTATCTTCAAGAGCTTGTAACACCTTATTGCCCTACAAGGGAACTACGCTCCATAGATGCTGGGTTACTTGTTGTTCCTATGGTTTTAAAAAGTAGGCTGGGGGCCAGAGCCTTCAGTTATCAAGCTCCTCTTTTGTGGAACCAGGTTCCACTTTCAGTCCGGGGGGCAGATTCGGTCAGCTCTTTTAAAGTAAAACTTAGAACTTTCCTCTTTGATTCTGCCTATAGTTAGGGCTGGCTCAGGTTAGCCCGGACCAGCCCTTAGTTAAGCTGCTATAGGCTTAGAATGCCGGGGGACTTCTTAGGACACACCGAGCTCCTCTCTCACGCTCTCGTTCTACCATAATTCAAGTTTTATCAATGCACATGACTAATTCAGCTTCTTTCCGGGAGTTTTTTTTGTGCTTTCTCCCCTATCAGGTCTCTTTAGATCGTGGTTCCTTCGGGACCCTGGTCCTGACACCTACTGTGGCCATGCTGACGCCTGCTGCTGCCATCATCATCATCATCATCATCATTATTTTAGATATTAATCATTACTGTACTCGTAAACCAACATTACCCTCTCCTAAAGTCTCTGTGCTCTCCCTCCCCACAGACTTCTGTGGATGGTGGTTCTATCTGATGGTGGTTGCCCCTGCAGTGGTCCTGCTGTGCGCCTGGCTTACTACTCACAACTACTTGAATCATTTCTGTCATAGGAATTGCATGTATTATACATTGTTCATTCTGTACACATGGCATCCATTGTCCATCCCGGGAGTGGGATCCCTCCTCTGACGTTCTCCCTAAGGTTTCTTCCCTTTTTTCCCCTCTTGTAAGGGTTTTTTCATTTTTTGGGGAGTTTTTCGTGTGCCGATGGTGGGTTTCGGGGCAGAGGATGTTGTATGTGTACAGACTGTAAAGCCCTCTGAGGCAAATTTGTAATTTGCGATTATGGAAATACAAAATAAAATGAATTGAATTGAATAATTCCTTTACAAAATCCAGTTATGAATCTAGCAGGTGGCTTCTGGTTCTTTGGACTTTGGAATGCCAATGCCAACAACTGCAGTTAAAAGCTGACTTCAAAAACAATTCAATCCCCAACGGCACTCATCATAAAATGACCTAATCCACAGCAGAACAAGAATGTTTACAGTCAGGTACAAAAAGTTGTTTTCCCCTCTATGCTAATGTCTCCAGTTCAGGAAAACGGTATGGGGGAGTACATGACATTTTGTATAACTCATTTAAATGAAGGCTGAAAGTTAGGTATAACCCTTATGGACAACGCTCCACAGTTTTTACATGAACTTACTTACTACCAATAATATTTTTAATGAGCATTTGAATACCTTTGTAAATAAATATATGTATATTATGAGTGTTTCTATTACATTTATTTGAAACCAGAAATATCAGACAGATATGTGATTCCACTCTTTAATGTGGATTTTGTTTACTTTTATATCCAACTCTTTGTTGAAAAGACAAATTACAAACTACATTTCTGAATCCTGTGCAATGATTAATTTTGAGATTGACCCCATATTCTTTTGCTTTGTGTGTATACAAAATACAATAGATTTTTTTATATAGAAAATTATTTTTCTGGATATAATGGTCAAATTAGGTAATTTGCTTTCTGTTTTATGTTGTAAGCACTTTGACACTTTTGTTTGTAAGAAGTGCTTTATACATTTACTCACCGACTTTTTGCTGATTTACTTTCTTTAAAAACTTTAAAAAGGTCGTTAAGCCCCGCTGTTAAGTATTTAAACAGAAAATCTGATTTGGCTAATACAATTGAAAAGAGTAAATAATGAGTAAACTTAAAATAGAGAGCTCGAAGAGGCTTAACCGCACCACAGAACTGGGAAGGATCGCAGTCACTCTGGGTTCATAATTTTACATTAAATAGTCACTCCACTGTGAATATGAAGAGAATGCTATGGAAGCTTTAAATAGTTCCATAAGAACATCATTAAATAGTAATCAATAAAGACATTGCTAAATGACATTACTTCTTTTATCTACAGTATATAGTTCTACTGTAAATAACCTAACTATTTATAAAGATGTTGAGCTCCTTCCTGGCAGTCAATGATAGCACTGGTGATATTGTAAAAACAAAGTGAAAATATTTTGGTATTGTAAACTGTAAACTCAGTGCTAATGCGAATACAACACAGTAGCAAGGCTGCTGCAGATGTAATTATACATTGTAGTATTTCACACATTTGGAAATTACAGTTTTTTCATGGCTGTGTGCTAAGTGTTTCACAGAATACACAAGTGGAACTCTTACTTTGGAGAGGTTTCCACTCCCATCACTCTTTGATTACTTAATGGGATTAATTATTCTTTGCAGCAGAGTGACTAAACTGAGTAGGTTTTTACACCCTGCAGCTCTGTAGCAATGTGGAGCTTAAAGTTGCTGGATCAGTTTACTGGGAGCGGGTTGCTTTTTCAGAAAAATGTATAGTTAATAGTTAAAAACTTAAAGCCTAATAGTCTGCAGATCCACTGTATGGCACAAGCTGTCCGAAACCAGCAAGTGAAAGCAAGACGGGATGTAGCCTTTCTTCCACCTCCTAAAACCTGAGTTTAAAGACCCAACCATGTGTGGATAAAAATGTGTTGGTGGTCTGCAGCTATAGCAGCCCTGCCTGTGCATGCATACACGCACAGTCCCGCCAAACCCCCCACTTACAAAAACCTCCCCGACCTTCCTTCTAATTGGACTTGGGGTGAAGAGAGAGAATGGGAAGGGGTGGCTGGGGGGGGGTGGCAGGGGGTAGGAGGTAAAAAAGGAGTAAATGTGACCTTTCTTTTTCCTCCATGGAGATTCCCAAGACATAGTGGGGAGGATTGGTTTCTTTCGGTCTCCTCACAAAAGAAGCTCCGTTTTCCCTGTTGCTGGACAGTTTCTGTGTTTCTACTGTGATTACTCAGCCTGAAAAATGCACATGAGGAGCGTGGAAGTTCAATGTTGACCTTGTAAACTGTGATTTAGTTTAGTCTTCATCAGCAAATATAAGATGGTTGAATGCTCTGGAGAGGCTAGTAAGTTCACCATGAGTTTTGATTTAATAATGATCTGTCTTGCATTTAAATACAGGCAACCATTGAAGTATTTAGATGAAATTTTTTTCCATAAAAATGAATTTTTCACAAAAAATAAAATAAAATTTTGTATAAACTGCTGTTTCATAAATGCGGTAAGTTAAAATTACATTTTGTTTCATCGACCGAGACCACTAAGGACTTATCCTAGATTGATGTTTTTAGGATAATATTAACTCTAGACTAAACTTTAAATTACCTTTTTTTCACCGTAAAAATTCAGTCAGCGGGTCGCAGATCGGACTCAACCAGACTTTAGAATTAGCAGAAAAATGTCACAAAGCCCTTTGTGCTTTACATAAAGCTTCTTGTTGAGCTCACAGTAATTGAAAGCAAGTCAGATGAGCACAACCTCATTTAGGTCAAGTTTACTGTTTAGTCTTCGGTATAAAACAGCCAGACAGAGACATTTTAGTTGGTAAATGAAATGTGGGAGACTAAAATAGTATTTTTCAAAGTGAAAGGGGCATTCATCATAATGTTGAACCCATAGCTGACACAAATAATCAATAAATGAATTGGTTGCTAGTTAAACATTTAGGATTTTTTTTAATAAAACATTTTAAAAGCGAAAACTCATCCAATTTAAGGATTTGCTGCTTATCCCTGTTTAAGACCTTTGTTCGGGTAAAGCATGACATTTTAAGATATTGCCATGACAATTGGGACAAGTTGGTTTGAGTCTTTTCAGTTTTCTGAAATGTTATTGACTGCAAGATAATGAAAATATTTAGCTCCAGTCCTAATGAAAAATTATTTAAAAAAATTGAACACCTGGGGCTCTTATAATTGTTCTTTGAAACATCTCATTACAACTTTTAATAATGCTATTATTATTGACTTGTAGCCAAACGTTCTGTTTGTAATCGCAAGTACTATTATCACAAATATTCAAGAAACAAAACTGTCAGGGACATACACAGCAGGCAATGGTCTGTGATGTATGAATGTCATGAATTTATCATAACTTGATCCACAGCAACATGTAAGAAAGAAAAAACACACCTGTCTTTGTCTGTAGCCATACATAATATATATGCACATTTGTACCACATGTTTCACAAATTTCAAGATATTTCACAACAACAGCACCAGAGCTTTTGATTGATTTCTCAACCCACTAATACATTCATTCATTATTTTCCAGATAAACCAATAATCTATTAGATACAGAAGTGAATAATTTACAATAAAATAACAATTTTTAATTTCCTGTAATTCTATACTACAATAATTTCATCCTGCCTCCATGTGCATTTGTCTTTTATCAAGTCTGTGGATATTCACACAGGAAGGAAAGGTTATTGTATTGTCTTAATGGTGGAAAAACCTTGTAGTGTAGTATTCAACAAAGCAAGAAGCTTACTAATGCTGAAAAGCTTTTCTCTTTAGAGCTCCACCTTTCAGGATTTTTCTTTCCTTTGCTTAGCTCCTGCGCCGAATAGAAATTGTACACCAATACTCTGAGAACTCACAGTGGTATTAAAATCACAGACAAAAAAGGAGTCAGGTACTGCATCTTGAAGACGAAAATGCAACAAAGTGAAGACGTTTGTTGTCAAATGTTTAAGTACAGAAAACAACACGGAACATTAACAACAATTGCACTGTATGACAACACCTTTTCTGGATTATGTTTTGCTTTGGTCCAAACTGAACACAAACAGATACACAACAGAACTTTTTGCACCCTAATTTTTGCGAGGCATCTGCGTAAGCAAACCACATTCGTTTGTCAAACGCTTTGGGCTTGCTGATAACAACAGCCTTGCAGGGACCTTCCAACACAGGCCTCTTTTCTCCTCCCCCATTTCTGTGTTGAGACATTGGCCTTGCTTGTTCATTCATATTGTTGCATTTTAAATGTACGTTTTTTGATTTGCTGAATCGATCTTACAAACGGCTGCTAAGATACAGTATTTGACAGCTAGCTTTCTTTCACTACATCTACCTGCAATAATAGTAATAATAACCCACATCCCTTTACACTGTCTGTCACTTATCCCGCACTCCTTGCTATACATTATGTACCACTTCTCTTACAGCGGGAGACCTTTTGTGGCGAGAAGCAGCCATATTCTCTCGGGCCCTGTGTGGCGTATATGGCAATCTGGGATTCATAGAAAGAAGGAAATGTGTTTGAACAGAATCTTGAAATACCCCTCATAAATTGCATTAAGTGTCTATAACAAAATCTGAACATTTTGTGCAAAATCTTTGTTAGATGAGTTTGTGTAGGTCTTAAGTTTTCTGTGAGAACTGGAATACATGAGCTGATACAGAACATGACACAGACGGATGAAAGAGAATGAGCAGAGATAATAGAAGGCAGTACAAAGACCAGAATGTGTCCAGACGAAACAGGAATCCATTTACGTGAAAACAAAGCATCATTCCACAATTTTCTTGTCAATGGGTTCTTTACCATTGGTCCGCGTGTAAGGCTCAAAAGCAGAGGAGCTCAGGTATCGAGCGGAAAGTTCCTGCAGGTTGCCGGCCAGCGAGCCGGCCATGGACAGGGGGTTGGAGGAAATGCGTGTGGCGACGCCGCTGAGTAAGGAGGGCATAGGGAAGCTGAACAGCCCGTGAGCCCCCTGTGAACTCTGCAGACCTGCCACTGTCCCCGAGCTGGTGGCGGCAGGTAGTGGAGGGCTGCCCCCCGCCGTGCTGGTGCTGCCGCCGCTGCTGCTACCGCTGCTGCTGCCACTGCTGCTGTTGCTGGCCATGGTCATGGACGGGGGGCGCAGGGTGGAGCCCAATGTGCCGCTGCCACAATGGGGCAGGAGCCCCGGCAAGCCTGGAGGAGTCAGCAGCCGTCCCTGCTCCAGTAGTCGGAGGACACTGCAGGTGGCGGCTGTTTCTGAAACCACTGAACGCAGCTCAGAGTCCTTCCCCTGGTCCTTCTTCTGCTTAGTGCGCCGGTTTTGGAACCAGACCTTCACCTAGAAAGGAATACAGAGAAAGAACCTTTAGAGACACATCCTGAATGTAATGTGAAACATATAGTTCATATAATAGTGCTTTACTATAATTATTATATTATTATTATGCTATGTTGTATTACTGTGAGGAAAATATTTGTAATGCTAGGAGTTAAAATGGCAGTAATTTATATTCATTGATAGTTAACCGAGCTGTTACAAAGCACTACGTGTAGCCTTTGTTGCATGTCATACCACCATCTCTCTCCCCAGTCATTGTCACCCATCCAGTACAAATGAAAGAAAAATGGCCAGTGATCATACTATATCTGGTAGTCAATTAAGCAGAAAAAATAAAACTTCCTTGTCGTTCGTCAAATGTGAAGATTTGGGGCATCTTTTGGTTTCAGATTATTGTAAATTAAATATTTTTGTTGACCAAGCAATCAATTGGAAATCTCCCGCATAGGAAAGTAATTTTAAGTTGCATCCTTAATGTTGTTTGTCTACAGCTGTGTCAAGAGGCATTTTAAAGGCATTTTAATTCTCAGACGTTACAAATTTGAAATGGCATTGGTAAATGATGCGTACCTCCTTCAATCAGCGCTGTGGAATTTTCTAACCACGAACACGTAGGAATTCATAAAAACTCTGAAATTCTCTGAGTTCTTCAATAAAAATACAAAAAGGCTGAAATAATTACGTCTTGGAAAATGATAACGTCTAATTGGTTATTTTTGTAGTTTCTAATGGAAAAGTTCTCAATTCACCAATGTTTCACACTGCTTTGAGATTTTATTGGAAGTAGTTTATATTCAAAAGTTAGTATGAAGAAAATATTCCCTTACCAAAGGTTGAGAAATGAAGGCAAGCCTACGGATGATTTAATAATCAGGTCCAGTCACACATCTGATCCATTTAGAGATTCTGACGTATCCATTGGTCATTTTCAAGGAATCTTTATTAAACAATTACAAAGTTTTCTATGATTTTTACCTGTAGGTCTACTGTGATCACACCTGACTGCTTTTGTATGGAATAAGCAATCCACCATCTCAATGCGACTGCTCCTCCAATCCCGGTTTTGTTTTAACTTTTCCCCAGCTCTTAACAACCATTTCACATGGAAAAGCCCTGGGGCTCCATCCTATAGCTTTAGATAGATACATAGTGTTTTTCACGTAAAGACTGCTCAAAAAAGCTCTTTTTCATTTCAGAGGTTACATTCTCAGTGCAAACAAAACAAGGGGATGCTGGGAGCTGTATCAAAAATGAGTTGTACACACAATAAATGGCTGTCATTCCATAATGTAACGAGACCAGAGTACCAGAGAAGAGAATGTTCATTTCACTATGTTCTCTGCCTTTGTCCTGCTAAGTAGGGAGTAAGGATGATTGTCTATATGCCTTTTATGTGAGTGAAATTACGTCAAACATTTCATTGACTTGTATTACTTGTATTTCTTGTATTTTTTTTGTAAGATAACCAGCAATTGTGTTGTTCCAATCAAAATAAACATAAAAAATTGAAATAGTTCAAATGTAAAAAAAAACAAAGCAAATGAAAAAATAAAATGTTTTTTATAAAAAGCACAGGGAGTTTGTTGTACGTCAACAAACATATTGAAATAGTCCCTTATGATGGCATTTTGTGAGAAAGGTTTGACCTCTCATAGACCTCCACCCAAGGTCAACCTCCTTCTGCCGCATGAAAGCCCAAACACATTACCACCAAACACCAAGATAGCCCGTTAGCCACTTGGCACATTTATACAAATAGAAACTACATAGACGACACTGGATGTTACAACACACCAAAGCGTTGAAGAAACAGTCTCGATCATACATGGTGACCGGTCGACTGGTGTCAAACGCAAGGTGCAAATGCTGTTCCTCCACAGTGCATGACCCGCTGCTGACCTGCAGCTCCCTGCTTTTTCTAATGGCAGCTTTCATTTCAGCAGCTTCAGGTAATAATGGCAAAACACTGCATAAGCTATATTGACATTAGATTTATTAAGAAGGCCAATGTACTCACTTAAAATGAATGCAGAGCCTACTAGAAATATTTCTGAGGGAAATCCTTAAAGATACAATCCATGTTCCAAATGCAAAAATAATGTTCGACCAAGCGCCCACATTCAAAACACTGCACTGGGAGCTGTGAGGTCTGTAAAGATTAACACTCGACAACAACTAAGCTAAGTTTTTAGTGATTATAGATGTGTTACATGGAAGAAAGATTGCATCCATATCATATTCTAACTGCTTTGTCAGAGATAGGCTTGATTATATATTTGCTGAGGTTTTACAATAAATTGAATACAATTGGATTACTTTAGCCAATTTTACCTTCCTCTGTGACAATGCAAATGGTCCTAAAAGATCGTAACATGATTTTCTTAATTCCATAAAAATGGTAGTATTTTGTAGAAAAACTGAAGATCAGAAATTGCATTTCAGTAATCGCAAAAGCACCCTGTATGTCTTTGCAGATTAGAAAGCATTATTTTTTAACCTAGTATGAAGCTGGAACAATGTAGATACCTGAGTTTCAGACAGATTGAGTTGACGGGCCAGTTCTGTCCTTTCCCTTCCAACCACATACTGGCACCTCTGGAACTCCATCTCTAACCGGTAGAGCTGCTCTGCAGTGAAAGAGGTGCGGGTCCGCTTGGGTCGGTCCAAATCCAAACCCTTTGGCAGGATAATCTCTCGGATAGAGCCTTTAGCATCTGCAACGATTGAATTAACGTAGAAATAAGGACATTGAGGCGATGAACAATTACAGCGGATATTAGATATATTCCTAGCTCCGGACATGTTTTATATTGATCGTTACACAAAAGACTATTAGATTATTATTGTTATTTTTATTATCATTAATATTATTATCATAGCACAGTACTGGAGGATATAAAAAAGGTCAAATTCAGAATTTAAATTTACTTGTTTCAACGAATGGAAAGACGTATTATACTTGGCTTTGGGGTTTAAATGGGGAGTAAATATAGCATAATGTGTTTATTTGAAAAATAAACCCATCTAAATTGTTATCATTTAGTGGAATATCACTTCCAATTAAATCTTATGAACTGAAAAAACTCCTGTTTTATGGTATGAAAAGAGGAGATGTCTTTAAAAAGTCACATTTGTAGAAATACAACAGGTTTACAAATGTGTGCACATAAATTATCACAAAAAAATATATTGTAATATCAATAACAGTATATTTTGGATTAGCCTATGTTACCACAATGGGTTCAACAAATATTTTAAACATACAGATTTTAATAGAAATTATAAACATTTTAAATGAATAAACAACTACAATTTCATATAATGCTAAAAATAATTGTTACAATGATGCAGCAAATTAATTCATATTGTAAAAAACAGATGTCCAAAAGAATAATTCAATGGAGACGGTTTGTCTTTATTTCCGGTGTGGGGCTGCTTTTTCTTTAACTCTCATCTCATTTTTCTGTCTTTTAATATTTATAATCTTGAAATCAGTCAGGGAGTTTAATTTAAATAAACCCATGGGAATATAGGTTGATTGTTTATCTTGACAACAAAGATATTTTGAATAATATAGAATTTGGTATTATTTAACTATATAAAAAATAAAACATGTGCCTGTCCTAGTATTTACAAAAAGTTCAGAGACAAATCATTAAGGGTCATGAAGAATGTCTGAACTAGAATTTAAAATACATAGCTTTGATAACAATGAGCTCTTGTTTCATGACAATTTATTAGTCATCTAACAACTCCATTTCCTATGACTATAATTGTACTTTTTAACAATATTTTTTAAGAGAGGATATTTCAACTCGTGTTGAACTTTCTCTGTATTTATCTTTAACTACTGTCTTATTTAAAAAGCTTAATTCCAGCTCTATTCTTATAGCTCCCCTCTCATTTCCTTGGATGTAAGATGCATGTTATCTAACTGCAGCTCAAGATCCTATACAAGAACTGTATGATCTCGGAAGTACGACAATGTAAGTTCCAAAAAGACAAAAAAGAGGAAAACCACAATTCTTACCTCTGACTAGTATCCTCCGACAGTAGTCTAGGTCTGCCGTGCTCCCCCTGTTCTTCTCACAGTTGTCCACAGTCCCAGTGGGGGAAAAAGAGTCTGGTTGCTCCTTGAAGTAGCTTTTTGACAAGCTTTCCTGGGATTCCTTGTCATCGTTCCCCTTCTTTAGTCCATTCCTCAGCCCGATCCCTTCTGTCTCTTGGTTGTACCTGACCTCCATGCTCAGTTTATCGTCCTGTGGCTCGTCTGCCTCTTTTTTTCCTTTGTCAGATTACAGAGAACACGCTGCAGTCGATCGTCTGGAGAGTGTGGTGTTTGGTTTTAAAACAGCACCTTTCAGCGGGGCAAAGTCAGCTATCTAATGAAAGGTAAAATACGTCAGTTCGCCGACCGAAGAGCACTATTATCACTGACTAAACTCCCTTGCCCAATGATCATGGACTTCCGAGAAACTCAACAGTAATTCAATGCCCCCCTTTCCTCGTTACATAGACAGATGATCTCCAAATAATCAGAATCATGGATGCGCAGTCGCTGTTTCAATTGATTACGATAATTTTGCTGCCTCCACATTTGCGTAACCTCATGAATACACTAAACAGTTTGGGGAAATAGATCAGGTCTTGATAGAGGGGGTTGCTCGTCGTGTCCCCCTTAGTTGCCTGCTCTCAGCCCAGAGAATCGAGAGAAATGATTGGTCTTCGTTTCCAACCAAGCCTCCGCAAATCCCACATGAACAAACACAATCACAGAGATACGACTCTTCCAGACCTGAAAAAAGTTTTAGAGTGCTTCATTCTTCTGTCAGCAGACCGCATCCAGACAATATTCCTCAAACTTTTCACAGCGCACCTGATTGCCGCAGCACGTCAGCGAACTTTGATCCTGTTTTTCCTTTTGACTCTCACCAGCAGAATTCTGCAATGTGTGGATCCCACCACTATGCTATTATAGGCAAGAGGCAGTGTGAAAGAGAGCCAGAGAGAGAGAGAGACGGGTTTAATAAAGGATAACAAAACAAATCCCTGCCGGTCCAAACCTATCAAGGCAATGAGGACCCAGGCAGATCGAGCACTCCAAAACCACCAGGCGCTACTTTACCGGGGATCGTGCTCGCGTTTCCTGTGTTAATTCAGAGAGCTGCGCAGAGAAACCCAGCGAAGTCCTGGCCGCTAATGCCACATCCTTTAGTATTCAAATGATTGCACCCCAGAAGCCACCTTCACCTCTCATAAGCTTAACCTGCACATTTAAAAAACAAAAAAAGGGGAACAAAGCTTGTCATTAGCGTTTAGGCTGCCTACACTCTTTCTCACACACGCATACCTCTAGAATGGCCCCTTCCTCGCTCCACCACTCGCCTTCCAGCCCACTACACACCCACCCAACCACCAACTCTAAGCTATTTTCATTGTCAGTGCAACAATATCTCTGAACACAGCAGTGGCCAGTAATCCAATAAAACCATTGATTAGGCCACAATGATTCAATTCAAACCCTTGGCCTAGTGCAAGGAGCATTCTCTGGCCCTTCTTGTCACCTTAGCTGGCCAGAAGCCCTCTTAAATATGCCCCCCTCCCTGAGTGCCATTCATGCCTTTATGGGAAACAGGGAGGAAAAGGAGTGAAAGATGGCAATTATCTAATTGGACTATTAACAAACAATTCTGCGAGTGTGGCTGCCCGTCAGCAGTCTCAGGGTGGGTTTAAGGGCCGCATGTTGGACTAACTTTATTCACTAAGTGTTTGGGGGGCTACTGCTTGTAGAAGGGAAGGGTCCATTGTATAAGGAGGGAAAAAAGGAGGTAAAGAAGGGAGAGACTAGAGGGAACCTGGGCTTCTCAATCTGTGATGCAGAGCCTCAGGCTGGGAAATCAATTGAGGACGCAGTGTCTTGGCCTCTCAACTGCACCCAACAAGTGAGGAAGGGAAACGACTGATATGTTTTCGGGGATGTGGAAACCAAGCATAACACAATAAATACTACAGAATACTGCATGTGTACTGTAGTGCAGCATGTCATCTTTTGTACAGCTCTCACATGTTTCATTGGTAGAATACTGTATGGAATTCAGTTGATAGGTAAATCTTTGTGTATATTATCTATCTTAACAGTGTAAATGATACACCCTGTAAGTCTTCTGGAACATGAGAGTTCATGAGAGTACACAACAAAAATAACCACCCCATTTTCTATTCCCCCCATTTACCAATGTAATTTTGTACATTCAGGGTAGAACGATTTCTCACAGGAACAGGTTGATTTAATGCTGCTTGAAATTAGCAGCAAGAAAAGGGGACAATTACTGTGAGACGGCCTGAGGTCAGTGTGGTAATAAATGTTTGCTAGTGGATTCACTATACAGACTGATACGAAGGCCACAGTCTTTGCCTGCTGTTAACCTGCTATACGTGGTACGTTTGACCTTGTTCATTGTGTTCACTAGCTGTCTTTGAACAAAAGCTTCAGAAAACCAATGGGCCTGTACTATGGAAACAGTTTAGCATACAGGTATCTTCAGGTTATCTGGTTCAACTAAACCGAACAGTTATGATAGCACTAAAACAGGGGTCTCAAACTCCGGTGCGGCCCGCCGGGGGGGTACCGACTTTGGCGTATCCCCCCCGTTGACCGTACCGTTTGTCGGTCGGACAGTCAGCGGCGCCACGCCGTCGACCTTAACATTATCCAGGAGTGGATGTGTACCAAATCCATCACATCGCTAATGTCAAGTCACTGTGGCCTTGAGCCAAGGATGGCGGCAATTTTAATCACAAGCAGGGCTTTGCCAGGACTCACATAGCTGCAATTGTCGTATAATGTTTATTTCATGCCTCATCTTTCTGCACCAAAAGGCGTTCAAGTACAGAGCGGTAGGTAATGCTTCTTTTGAGGGAACCGATTGGCTTACCCCTCCCACTTTTAGGGATTCATACATGGCTGCCGCTCAGGGCAAACACAGCGGGATCTCAAAGCCGCCCGTTGAGTTCAATCACCAAATAAGGTCTGCGTAATTCATGAACTCTTCATCCATCATAATACATGTTGACTACAAGTCATTCACTTGTCTCTCCTGATTGAAATAATTCAGTCTGAAAGTAACAGAGTGAGGACAGGACAGCTGGCTAGAAATCACAGACTCTACTCAGATGTTTATATAACTGCTACATCTAGGATCATGAAAGATCTGACTGTAATCTAATTAGTGTATTATCGTATGTTCTAATTTCTCTTAGATGTATTGTTATTAATTTAGCTGAAACTCCAGTGGTATGAAAGAAAAGTTTGGGGAAAATAAAAAAACATGCAAAAACAATACAAAGCAGTAAGAAAGGATCCTTCCATAAGTTTATATATAATCTTTTTTTACAATTGCTAATACTGTTCCACATGGTATTGTCATAACAATAGATGGAACACATTCATTTAACAAAATTCACACATGATTAAAGTCAAATCTATTGGGCTCCTGATGATTCTGTTCATTTACACATTCACACTGACAGGCATTTATTTCCGGCTGTCTTTTTGGCATGTTTCCTTTTAGTATGCGTGTAGTCTGGATTGTGACTTCAGCGTCTTCATATTTGTGTAATATTATGAAACGATCAATAAACTGAGCTTTGATTGGTCAGTTGGTGGCGCTTTTATAGGAGTTGATCTCTTATCTCTAACAATAACTGCTCTGGAGAAGGTAATGTGTTCACAATAAGTAACAATGGTGATCTATCTCAGCAACAAGTGACTATAATGCTGAAGTTACCTTGATAACGCTAAATTCTGTTATACAGGCCTGATTGATGCACAGTGCAAGGAGCGTAAACCCACCAGTTTCTAGCTAATAAGACATTTCATTGATTTCACACAGTGGTCAAAATCCCTAGCATTATCAGAACTATTACTGACATAATTCGAATACAACACGGCCTCAGTGACACTCCGTCCAATGCAGAACAATGCGCTGTTTATAAATGCGTGTTCGGACCACTTTCACTATTTGAAACTACGGAAATTAGATTTGTTCTCTGAACACATTTAATATTTGGTTAGAAATCAATGTGTCCAAGCAAATCACCCCCCTAAACTGACCATGAAAGCCAAACAGAGTCAGATGAAATTCCCTGTTATTTCAAGGAAGGAAATGGTTACTTTTGTACAGGACCTGATTAGAATGCTATAATTGTGGCACACACACTGAAAATGTTCAGGCAACACAGTCAAGGCAGGCTGGAGAAACGTCTGTGTGCCTGACACGCTATTCCTTCCAGAAGTTGGTTCTTTGTGGTCCTGTTGTTAGGACCCAGAGCTACTTGGCACTTTGTGGAAAAGCCTTTTAGGTTTCTCTTTTTCAAGGTAGGTTGCTGAGTTGAGCGCAGGCCTTGGAGAGCCTTGATATCTGAACGACAACGTGGTAACTCAAGATGAATGGTTACATTCAAAGCCTTGCTTTACGTTTACAAATGTGCTGATTATGTTCCACAGTAAGAGAGCAAGCTGTTCTTGAACCCTCTCGATAAAGACCTTGTTTCCATCTATGGCGGAGGGCTTCACTGGCAGCTGAGCTAAAAAGCACTGATGCTTTTCACTGCGCTTGTGGACTTTGTCTCCTGCTTCACTGCCTTCACTTTAAAATCCTTGGTGCCTTATGAATATGGTGTGCTTGCAGTTACTGATGGTGTTGTGAAAACAAACTTTCCTGCCAATTAACCTTCATCACAGCTGTTGAAGTTCCCACATTATTAACTGTGAGCAGTTCTGACAACTGAGCTAATAATTGGGATTAATTGCTGTGTGTGTTGGTTTCTGGTGTGAGAACCGTATGTTCAACTTTATTGTCAACGGGCTCTGAGGGCTTCAAGATAATCTGCTCAGCTAACATGCTGGAGATGAGGAACAGGTTCTATCAGTGCTGTAATGAATACCAATAGGTTTAAAAAATGTATTGAAATATTCGGGTTGAAAAGTTAAAAAAATGTGCATGTGCCATACCTTAATGGTTCAAGCTGTTTTTTTGTTTTTGTTTTGTTTTTTACTATTAACGTATTGTTAATAAATCCCATGGAAAGACCAAAACCAACAATGAAAGCATTCTGCTAACAAGTATTGTGTTTGTATCCAAAGCCTGATGGACCAGAGTTTTTTTCCTATTTTTCCCTAAAATTTATTTTTTCCAAAAAATATTCCATGAAATGACCCACTGTAGTCAATGTGTTTTGTTCACTTTTTTTGGTGTGTTTAACACTGATGTTAATAAACTGCTAAAATACATAATCCAGCTTTAATACCACTACAAAAAGATTTGGGATGGAGGGTTTAAAAAAGGTTTCAGCAATCCATCAAAGCCTGCACCAAAGTTATTGTGTTATTGCATTATGATGTGAAATAGAAATGGCTGTGCTGTATATTGGATGTAGAAAATATAGCTCAGAGGTATTTGTATTTATGGTAGTCGGCGATTTGTCTTATGGGTGACATACCCAACAGCCTAAAAGCTGCCACTAAGCCTTGGCAGTAATTGTTTTTTTCTGTACTTTGTCCATGATTCGTTTTAGATAACACTCTTTGTCCCGCAGACAGCGCCTCACTTTAGTAATTGTCGCAGGTGTAATTTGAGCAGTTCCTTTGTGTCTGTGCAACAGTTACATCCCCATTGGCCGTCATAGTGTGCATCGAGAGTAAAACGTGACGGAAACAATAGAAAGCATCATAAAAGCTTTGAGAATAAATCATGTTTTTCTTGTCCTCTCTAACCACTCAGACCACCATTTGCAGGAACGCAGATGGATTTTTTTTCTTTATTGGGGCAAATCTTTCGGGAGTGTTTGGAAACACGGCCTGCTTTGCTGCTCACTGTTTAACCTCAACTTCACTGTATTGGGTGATAAAAAATCACAGCAGATCATTCCAGCTGAGTGCTGAAGCCTTTTGGTTGTATCAGCTGTTAAAAAGAAACCTCTAAGAAAGCAGCATGTTGGAATTGAGGCCTTATGGAAAGTGTGGCCCTCCCTCTTCTCACTTCTATTGTCGGTCATACTAAATGCACCCTGGGAAAAGTGTTTACAAGAAGACTACGGTTGGGATTTTTTTTATCCACTTATGTCTTCTGAAAAGCCTTAACCTACAAATTTGGTAGCCACTGATACCCAAAAGCTTTGTGGTTGCAGAAGTCAAGTCAGTTTGATTTTCACAGCAACAAATCAAAAATGATTCTCAAAAGGGGCAAAATGATTTGTCCAACAGAACATAAACATAAATGAATATCTCATATCAATTTAGATTATTACATGTTTAGATTACTTTTTATGATTGGATTACTACAGAAATATTGTTGGTCCCTTAATTCAAATGAACACTTTAAAACA